TGACCATTTTGCCCTTTAATTTTCTTTAACAATTACAAAATAACCTTCATCATATGTATCCAATAATCCTTGAACTATTTCATTCTTATTCTTTAGTCATCAAATTCCGAAACTTTACAATTTGGTCACTAACCCGATATTGAGGATGTTACAAATCTCCCCTCCTTATAAGAAAATTCGTCCTCGAATTTTCACTGCACATCTTAATAAGAACATATCTTCTAATGTTCTTATGTTGCTTCCCTGTCTTATTCTTTCTTGTCATAATCAGAAACTTACTTTTCAATCCTTTAATTATCCAACTATCTTTTTCGTTTATACATTCATCTTCCGTTGCTTATCATATAAACAATAACCAGTAATACCAATCCATTGTTGTCTTTTCTCTCATTCAACTATGCATTCTTCCTTTGACCTTTCTAAAATTCCATATAGTGTCACTCATCACGTTGACAGTACATCCATCTCATCACTCTATATCATAAATCCATCTATTTCTTCATAACTCTCTAATTACTTTATAACCATACAAAACTTGTATTTCGTCATCATTTGACCAAAACACAACTTTAAATCTTCTTCAATTGTGATTACTCATATACTTTAAGGAGTCAAACAATATTTTCACATCACCTTGCACATTTTTCGTGTTCTGTTTCGAACTTATCATTTACACTTCCATACGAATCCTCACTTCATTCACTATATCACATTTACGTAATCAAAATATACAACTATATCCAATACTATTTCATCACAAAATCTTGTCAGTCAACGCTAACTCTTTCATTCTAAAGTACAAATCCTTATCATCTCCACACTTTTTCTTATACACAATACTATCCCTTTGTTTCAAATTCATAACTCTGATTTCATTCATATAATGTTACTTCTCCTGTAGACAGTAACATCAATTCTTATCATCTATTGTACTTGTATTTCCTTCAAACATACAAATCTTTATCTTCTTCACCACAACACCTTCCTATGATCAAACTATACAACTGTATCCAAATCCTCTTCATATTTGGTTATCATAACCTGTCAATATATATAATTCCATTACATTTTCATTACATACTCTTGTTAGCCAATGCGAACTCTTTCCATCTAGAGTACAAACTCTTTTACAAACAATAACCGCGTCACTTGATCTTTTAATATCCTTATGGTGACACTCGTTCACCATATTCCATCTTATCCACATAATAACAAGCTTCTCAATTTAATTTCTCCACTATGGAGAAATGAACATCTTCTAGCATTATCTTCATATCATATACAAAGGTCTGTAACAACAGAGCCTTCCTCCAATTCACCCTTGAGATCGGGTGCTCCTAACTCTTTTAACTATTTCGATACATTCATTCTATGAGTTAACAAAGTATACAATTTAAAACACATCAGAATATCATTCAATATCATGAATCATTCTCTAATCTTATACAGGCATTCCCTGAGGTTTTCGCTCTTCTCCCTGCCTGGCCAGGGCAGGTGAATGCTATTACCTTCAGGTCTATCGCCTGGTGCTTCACTTTGGAAGCTCTCATATATTCATGTGCTCATATCATTACTTCTATCACATATCACATGTGCATATGATCCTCCAATTCATATCATATAACATATGTCAATTGTATATATTCACATATCATCTATCATATTATATAAACATATATATTTATCTCATAACTCATTCTCAGTATTCACTTATCTTATATCACATAACAATTTAACTCTATTAACAAGACAGCACACTCCTTACCCTATCAGATCAGAAAATTTTTCACTTTTAGTTGGCATGTACACTTTTTTAAAACTCTTTCGACTTCATTTTTAGCCTAGAATCGGCTAAACCGTAGCTCTGATACCATTAAATGTAACACCCCCAACCCGTATCCGACCCGGATACGAGTCCGAAGGGTCACATTGACTTTTCAAACAATTTTTCTTGTTTTTTTTCTTTTTTTCGTATAAAATAGTGAGTAATTTAAAACTTTTGTACATGTAACTTATTCAAAATATTTCCAGAACTATTCAGGCTTACATGTTTTTGACAAAACCGATCAGAGCATATACAATTCAAAAACTTTAATTACATGCCAACTATTTGCAATGTACAGAATACATCGAATTCAAGAGATCTTTTCTGATCTGATCTTCGGTAAGAAGTAACTGACCTGTCTTGCTCCGCATCACTTTTTACTCTTCTCGTAACCTACGTGTGAAACAATCACACGCTAAGTCTATGACTTAGTGAGGCAATAAACATATGTGCAAACTTTAACTAATAATCATACATGAACAATTACTGTTATCATTCATGCAATTCATACACTCTTACAGGTAACAAATACACAAAAGTAACTATATCATCATCTTCATGCTTATCACTATCATTGATTCTTTTTATCATATGATTCAATAAACCATTTGTACAATCATATATCACACATAACATTTCACAAGGAAACAAACATATCATCATATCAAGTTTATTAATATTATCTCGTATTTAGCCCATGTACACTAGTGAGAACTTAAGGTATGTGAGTACATTGAGGTTGTGCACACATATGCTGTCACCACAGCTCGATCAATGTCCCGAAGGACCAGTCCATAGATTCCGAAGAACCTAGGTAATCAGTCCATATGTCCCGAAGGACATAGGTAAACAGTCCATATGTTCCGAAGAACATAGGTAAACAGTCCATATGTCCCGAAGAACATAGGTAAACAGTCCATATGTCCCGAAGAACATAGGTAAACCCTCGACCCTTGGCATGCCAACTATACCCCTAGCTCTCATATCACATGACATGGGCATTATCATTTATAACAGTTCACATTACTTATTCATATTCTTTCTCTTATAACCACATATCTTTTCTTTTCAGTCACGTATCACAGGTACGTGTAATCATATATCTAATATCATACGTTGCATGTAATCACATAAACCTTATCTCATAACATATACTTGTTTTCTCATGTTCACATATATCATGTCATATGATTCATATCTTTCTCATGCAGTCACATAGTTCAGTTTCACATATGTTCATATATATACATTACATAGCACATACTTCTCATAACATTACATTCAAAAGCATGTTAACACATATAATCATGCATACATACAATTCATGTCATTCATATACGTATAATCATATATTCATGCATTCTAACAGAGGAAATAGACTTGTCGCAAGTCTTGTTTCCATTTAGCACCATAAACTAATTAATATGCACTCACCTGGCCTCACTAGTCCCTTTCAATCTCTTATCTTCCCTTTTTATCGATCTTACTTGTCAATGATTTCAGAACTCGTTTAGGCTTTGAATCTACATAATTATACAATTTAAGACAATTATTAGATACCTACACCTTTTAATTGGATACTAGCAACTTAAACGAACTTATTAAACCAATATTAACATTTTCCTATAGGGGGAATCGGTTCCCCCCTGTGGGGGTATCGGTTCCCCTCTGGCATTCTGGAATTCTGTCGCTTGAAGGGGTATCGGTTCCCCTTGAATGGGTACCGATTCCCCTTGCCCAGAACTCATATTTTAAGCTCGAAAATCACTTCAATTCTCTCAAACACTTCATATATCATCCCCTTTTTATTCTTAACTCTAGTACACATACTTAAACCAATCTATATTCATTTATTTCATCTTAAACCTTAGAATTCTATTCTCAATATAGAATCCAATAATCATATCAAAATTTTCATGTTATTCAAACATAATTCTAATACTTCTAACTTCTTAATCTCATAGATGACAAGTCAAATTCAACTTAAAATTCAACTTATCAATTTTATTTCAAGATTTGATTCAAGAACTCAAAATCTTTAATCTCTCATATACCTTTCATCTTGTTGTTTTAGAACAAATTAAGCTTTCCTTAAGCTTAATTATCATCTAATAATCAAAACTAAACTTAAATTTCAGCCCATAATCAGCTCAAGAGAAACTCACCTTTGCTTGGCTTCACACGTGGAGAAGAGAAAAATGAAGAAGGAAAAGAGAGAAGAGATTTTTTTTTCTGGAAACTCTCCATCCTTATCCATATATATATCATTTAATTATAATTTCAAGTCTAATGACCATTTTGCCCTTTAATTTTCTTTAACAATTACAAAATAACCTTCATCATATGTATCCAATAATCCTTGAACTATTTCATTCTTATTCTTTAGTCATCAAATTCCGAAACTTTACAATTTGGTCACTAACCCGATATTGAGGATGTTACAGAATGACTTTGGATCAAAGCTTTATTCCTTTGATTTCTCATCTCATTTGTTGAAATTTACTCTTTCAATAAATACTTAAAAGAAGTTAAAGTGATGGCTTGATTAGAATGGTGTCCTTGATAATTCTATTTTTTGTTGTAGTTGTTCTGCTTGTTTTTGTGTTTGATGTTGGGGCATCATTTACTGCTGATTGAATTGATGTTGTGGTTGGTAATTTTTCTGCATATTTCCATAATTTGACTAAAATGCCATGTTGGGATTTGCAACATTCTGACTTCTCCAAGATTGATTTGGATGGTTTTGGAAGTTGGCATTGTAAGTGTTCCCATAAGCATTTGCATTATCATTCCTATTGTAATTCCTCATATAATAGATAGATTCAGGGGTTCCAAAGTTATGATCATCACCATAATAAATACAAGAAAGAAGAGATGCAACTTTTACCTTATACATACCTCCCCGTTTTTTCAGTTTCTTTACCATGTCTTTTAATTCTGTTATTTGGGAAGCCATTGAGTTGATAGTGTCATTATCCACTGCTGCAACATTACATCTTCCAAACATGTTCCTCGTGTTGGGATATTGATAGTGGTTGTTGGGTATCCTCTCCAAAATATCGTAAGCTTCATTGTAAGTTTTATCCAACAATGCTCTGTTGGCAGAAACATCAAGAACCATACGTGTTTACATATTCAATCCATAGTAAAACATCTAAATTTATGTCCAATGAGGGAACCATGCATCTGACCTTTACGCAACAAATCTTTTAAACGTTCTCAAGCTTCGTAAAGGTTTTCATCATCCAGTTGCTTGAATGATGTGATATCATTTCTTAGCTTGGCATTCATGTTGGAAGGGTTAGAACGCAACAAAATATTTTGTGACAATTCATTCCGTGATGTTATAGCACCAGGCGACAACGAGTTGAGTCATGCTTTAGCTTTGTCATGGAGAGAGAGTAAGGAAACAAATTCAGCTTCAATACTTCCTTGGGTACTCCTTGATGAACAAAGGAGTCATGCACTTCCATGAATGCTAGAAGGTGCGCTCTATGATCTTCAGTAAATGAGTCGTTATACTACCCCATTGATTGCAACATCTGAAACATTATTAGCTTCAGCTCAAAGTGGAAAGCAACCCCATTTATTATAACATCTGAAACATTATTAGCTTCAACTCAAAGTGAAAAACATGGATGACAAGCCTAACGATGTCAGGATTTAAATCGTCTAAAGTTGGCACCACATGTTCTCAGATGGGCCTATTGCGGTCATCCATGTTATAAAATTTTTATTGATTGTGCCCATTGTCAGCCAACAATTCTTCTTCACCTTGAGATGGTGGTAAAGTATTTCAAACACCTTACTGGTTCATATTCGGTTGATTGCAATGTGGTTCTCTAAGACAACGACGAAATGTTCATTCAACTTCGGTATCAAAAAGCTCTAGGTTACGATCATCTTTACGGGACATGCACCAACAATAATGTTAAAAAGGAAATAAGTACATACATAAAGAAAATAAGAAAATAAGTAAACAATAAAGGAAACTCTAATGCAAAACCATTACACCCCGATAACACCACCAAAAACTTGATGTTATGTATATTACTACAACATTCAATGCAAGTGCACGTCTCGTATATCAAGTAATAAAGTGGATACACAAAGTGTATCAGATGTTGGACCCTTAGAGAACAAGGAATTACAACTTAGAATTGTTAACTTTGAATATTAAAAGGTAAATGTTGTGATTGGGTGGTAACAAAGATATAGTAAAAGTATTGAAAACATGATAGAAATGTCATGTAATGCAGTAGGAATCAGGAGAGCAAATGGACCACTGGACCATGAAATGTTGTTATCATTTGCAGTTGTTAGTATGATTATGTTGTGGTAATACAATTATGTAGCATGCAATGATTAACACATTACTCTCCTTTCAAAGACTAAACACTTAACTAATGAAAATTGATTTTCACCATTTTCATTAATCAAACTGTTAATAAAGCAATGGCAATGGGTAGCATACATATCTATATGCTTCAATCCACATTCGCAAATATTGATGTTGTACATAATTAGCATGCAATATTAATGATTTCCATTTGTAAAAATATCCAAGATTAGCATACCTATATATATTTTTATTTCTAAAAATATCAAATGATGTTCCAGCACATAAAAATATCGATTCAAGCAAAAATCATAAAACAAACATGTTAGCAAATACTTTATGTTCAAATCCAAACAACACCTAAGAAAATAAATCATTAAAACTTAAAAGTTCTTCCCTCTTTTAAGTAAGGAAATTAAGAAAGCTTGAACCCTAAATGGCCATCGTTGCTACAACGACGTTACTGCTCCAATTGCTGTTGCACTTCCTAACGAAGGGCTTAGGCGGCTATGGCTCACTCAAGATTTACGTGGAAAGGAAATTTTGGAGAAGAAAAAGTGTCATCCCAAAGGTGTGAATACCTCTCCTAATTATAGACTAAAAAGTCAAGCCTCTAACCAATTTAAATGCTCCATGTTTCAAGTGTTAATTTAGCCAAATGACAACTGCCTAGCCATCTATCCCATTCTAGAATTTTCCAAAACTTTCGACTGAGTCATCAGTTTCTGCAGATTCATCTAAGCAATCTAGTACAACTTCCAATCATAGCATTTCCTATAGCGTAAAGTAATGTCGTACCATTAGTGTACCAATTTTCAGTTAAATATTATAAAATAGTCTAAAAGATGATTTGAATGATGTAAAAACATATACAAATGATCCTAATATGCTCCTAATAGTTTTGGAGTTCAAACTAAACCTAGCTTAAAAGTATCTAAATGATAACTCTTTTGGAGCCTTGTCACATGGATAATTGGCTTCAACAAATACCTAGGAATCTCTCAACCCCTTCATGCGGAACTTTGGGGTATCCTTGAATGGTTGCACGTAGCTTGGAGGCTTGGTTTCGAAAAATTCCAGTGTCAATAGATTTTTTTTAGGCTCATAAACTTATCTCTTTCGATGATCCCCACGTAAGCCTAATAGGCCTCGTTCGAGCTATCTTTAACATGGCTACCAAGACCTTGATGGTGAATTTCATCCTTCTCTGTCACGAAGCTAATTTTGTAGCAGACCCAAACCCAAAGACCTATGGATCCATGCATTCGTTTCAAACTCTCCCGTAACAGTTATATGATCTCCTTCACAGGGACTGTTACGGTCCCTCCTATTTAAGGTGCTAGCCTTTGTTTTTGGCTTTTAGCCTTCTTTCCATTAAAAAAAATACAAGGGTGGCTATTAACATATCAAATTAAAAAAATATTAGTTATATTATAAAAGAAAAAAATTAACTTTTTGATTGGAAGCCCTAAACAGATAGTATTAATTATCTTACATCAGAAAAATATTTTTGAGTTTTTGGTTGGGGACCTAGGTAGGTGCCCCTCCTACTCAGGCCCAGCTACGGCTCTAATAGCACATTAAGAGACTTGAGAAAAGTAAATAAATGGATTTGAAAAGCTTAAATGAACTTAAATCAATTAAGAAAGTCTAAGGCTTTTAAACCCTTCTAATATCCTTCACTAAGCTTACCCTTACCTTTCGAGTAGATATATGAAGTTCAAAAAGATAGATCTCAAGCTCCAAAAACCATATCTTGCCTTCCCTTGATTCGAAGTTCAACAAATGATGGTCAAGTAGCATCTTTGGGAGATGGAGCTTTGCTAGGGAAGATGGATAAGAGTAGAAAACAAGAAGAGAATAAGGGAAAGGAAGATGAAAATGGAAACAGTGCCTAGCTTTTACCACATTTTTCTCTGATGACATAAGTCAAATTCAATGATTTTCGGCCCTTTATCCCCCAATGCTCTAATTACACATTTATTCCTTCCTTATTTGCTCTCAAGTTAAAAATCTTCTTTTTATCTTCAATTTAGACTAATTCTTTACTTGAGTAAGCTCAAATTTGACCCAGAGGGACTTTATATCATAATTAACTTTTTTAAATAAACTTCGTATCAATGCTCGAATGTTAACTCGAAAATTCAAATTGTTACATACATTCAAAGAATTTAAAGGAAATTGAACTTTCTCTCTCTTGCTCTAGGAAGCATTCAACAATGGTGAGGAATGTTGAGGGAAACTTCTCTTTCTTTTATCAAATTCAATGGAAAGTAAAAAAATGATTTGAACTCCTGACATTACTTAAGGGATTTAGTGTCTCATCCCATAGATCAATTGGTTGTTGGTAATATTGTTTTGTTATAATAATTACCGAGGTAGTCTCCAAATTTTAGAATATAATCTGTTATTTATTCGTAACAAGAGAACATATTTGTTGTATTTTAATAGAAGTTTTTTCATTTAAAAAAATCTCAAGAAAATATTATTCTGTTACAATATTAAAGGATATTATCCAAAGTAGATATATTGTGATTTTTTTTAATTATTCGTAATAGCGGAACATCATTTTTTTATGTTACAATGAAAAATGGTGTAAATCTTTTATTTCTCATTGATTTATTATATTTGTATTCATATTTTAGATTCAATGGACCGTAGATTAAACTTGAATTTGTGTTTATATCTTTACAAAAGCTAGAAAATATATAATTTATTTATAAGTTATCAATTTTATACGTTGTGAAAACGTTTTAATTTTGTGTAACCGATTTTTAAGCTAAATTTTCATCTAAATATATATTTTTCAAAAATAATTTTCAATCATTTAAAAAAATATGATTTTATGGGTGTTCAGTCACACCTTTCTCAAAACAATTAATCTCTCTAATTTCATAATAGCATAAATGTTTATCGAGAAAAATGATTTTTTGAACATAAACGATTTCAACATCGAGCATTTAGTAGGCCGTTTCTATTTTCTCAGCGGAAGTCGTTTTTGACAAGAAAGGGTAAAGTACAAAAAGCATCATCAAACTTTCTTCCCACTCCTATTTTAGTCACTCAAGTTTAAAAGTTTTCAATTCAATAATTAAATTGTATACATTAAACTTCTTTTGTCACTCAGTTAATTTACTGACACAGACTTTTCAACTTTCTAATTTCCACATTTTTATTTCTTTAATTTATTTCCTGCTAGTTTATTTGTTCTAGCACTTCATCCTGCTTGTATTCTTGCATCATTTTGGTTGCAGGAAGCAAAGCAGATGATTTTCACGCACGAGAGAGTAACTTGAACAAGAAAATGAAACAACATAATATAACAAAATAGCCCAGAAATCCTCTCTTTAAAAGCTGTTGAAGCCTTAGGTTGAACACTAAACTTTCCTTTATCAAAGACGATTAGACAATACCAAAAATAGCCTCAAAAGCTGAGCTTGGAAACCTTAAGCAGGAATGTTGAATTGAAGTAGTGGTTGGATGCATGGGAACACCATTTTCTTTTCTATGCATCATCAAAACACATCTCAACCATAGTTTATGTTATCAATTTTTCTTAACCTATTAATAATGTAGACAAACTCTGCAGACGCAATTACTTAAATCAGGATCTTCTGGAAAAACAATATTCTTCTTTATCACTAAGGCTGCTCAATGAGTCCAGAAAACTTATATTTAAATTCGAGACATGTAAAATGTGACTAACACTTACTGTTTGGATAAAGCTCCCAACTAGCTATACAGCGAAAACTAAAATCATTAAAGACCAAAGGTTACTAAAAACTGATGGAAACAAAGAATCATGATGATGTTAATAGCATGATTAAATGGTCATGAAACTATAGTTTTCAGATTAAAGACAATGCAAAAATGAATTACCATAGCTTCCCGGAAATAATATTTACCGTGATCTGCCTTTACGACGGTTTTTCATTACTGCACA